GGCGATGTCCCCCGCCGGCCGCCGGGCGGGCTGCAGGCTCCGCTACACGGCTCTCCGCTCCCATAATCCTCCTGAGCCACCCCGAGGCGCATCAGACCCTCAATTGCCATTTAAGTGTTTCCCAGCGCTAACTGCTGCTTGTTAAATAGTTTGGCGTTTATGCGTCTAGACTCGGCTGTTTTGCTATTGATTCGGTCCGGGAGGATAATGGAGGGCGGCGTGCGCTGGCTGTCCTCGCCGGGCGTTCGTCTCTGGGAAGCGATTACTTCTCCCGCGTGGGGGCCCGAAATGGAGCTCCTGGGGTGCAGGAGGGTCTGCACGTTCCCGACCGCCGCCCCACCTTTCGGGAGGTGCAGCCTGGAGCGAGGGCTCCCAGCAGCTCTGTCCTCGCTAGCGTCACAGGCGCCAGGGGCTCGGGTGGGAGGTGGGAGCCCTTGGAGGGGGGTTGAGACCCACTCGGCCGTTTGCAGCCTCTCGGGCTTGCCAGGCCCGTTCAGGCCTCTGTGCCTTTGTCCACGCTGTTCCCTCCGACTACAGTGCCCTTCCCTCCTCCACCTTGCCAGCTCCAGCTCATCCCTCCAGACCCCAAGCAGAAGCTCGGCCTCAGCGGGTCTCCCTGGCTTCCCGATGAGGGACGCGTGCTGTGGACTCCAGGGCCCACAGAGGGTCCGTGGAGGCCAGTCGGACCCTCCCGGTCAGCATGTGGGTGAGACAGGGCGTGTGGCTCCTGGTGTCACCCAGTAACTCGGAGGGGCAGCCGGGCCGCACGGACGCCCCTGCTCCTGGCCCAGCCGTCTCCCAGGGCGCTCTCTTGCACACCCGCCCGGCCTCTGCCAGGAGGGGCCGTCCCTATCCCCGCTCCCCGCTCCTGCTGCAGACCTCCCCTCCCCCCGGAGCCTGTGGCCAGAGAGTGACTCTCCGATCAATACCAGGAGCTACACAGAGCCACCGCCGGTGGCCGGGTGAGTCCTGCTCCGGAGGGAGAGGGAAGCCCCGGCGCCTGGCCAGCTGGCCGGCCCGTCCTCCCTTCCCCCCTCTGCTCTCGGCCCGAGGTCCTGCGTCGTCCTGCGTCTCCCCCCAAAACAGTTAAACCACAGAGAAGCATGAAGGGGCATCCACCTCCCGCATCCAGATGCCACCTCTGATCACTTCTATTGGCCTTCATTGGAACAAAGGAGAGAAACCCGCTGCCCCCCGCCCCGCGGCCGCACTGCCCTGAAGTGGCTTCTCCCCCGTCGGCTGCCCAGGCCTCGTCTCGGGCGGGAGCGGCCAGGGGACTGCGCTGCCCCTCAGCATGTGGGCACCATGAAGACAACCTGCTGTCGCCGCGCTGAAGCATTTCACCGCGTGAACAGGCCCCGTGCCGTTACCGTCCCAGACGATGGCGGGTAGGCTGTTCGCTGGTTTCTCCCGGGGTGAGCAAAGCTGCCACTGCCCCCTGCAGGTGTCCCCGCGCCCCGGTGCGCGTCCCCGCCTCTCGGGTCTGTCTGTCTGTCTGTCTGTCTGTCTATAGGAGGTTCAGATGTCCTCTTCTGTTTGTGTCTTTGGCCCGTTTTCTATCGGGCTGTGGCCTTTTTCCTCTCTGCGTCATAAGGTGACCTGTGTGCTCGGGTGAATCCGCTGCCGGCGGACGCGTGCCCACGCCTCTGTCTGTGGCTCGGTGTCACCTACGCGGGGGTGTCCCTGTCCGCAGGCAGCGTGGGCCTCGGCGGGGCCGCCTCTCCCGCTGCCTCACGCGGGTGGCTCTGTGTCGGGCCCAGGGCTTTCCGCCCTGAGGCCTGAGCTGCCTGGGACTCTCCCCACCGCTGCGTTCTCCATGTGAGATGTGTGGTTTCCCGGGGTGTTCTGCGCAGGGCCTGGGCCTCGCCGTCGCTGAAACCAATGTACGTTTCTAAGGAAACCTGGCTTTTTCATGATGGAGTTATTTAAGATCCGCTGACTGAATTTGCTGATTCTTCGTGTGGAAATTCACGTACAACTGTGTGAAGCTGCCCGCACGAGTCTGCTCCCGTGGGGGCTGTCGGTGTCGACGGTGCCCGCCCTCAGGGGGCAGGACTGGTGAAAGCGTGGAGATTGTCTGTGTTTGAAGACATGTCAGATGCGCCTTCAAAGGGTCTGGCTACTCAATGTTTTCATGGTTGTAGATTTTCTGTTTCCCCTTAAATAAAATTTGAAAACATATTTTTCTGAAAAAAAAAGAAAAGGATTCCTCCTCCTTTTTCAAACATAAGCCCGTGGCGTGCTCATCCTCGCGTCCTGTCGTTCCGTCCTGTGGAGCTTGGCTGGGACGCGCCGTGTCCCTCTCCCATCACCTCGTGCTTCTTTCCTCTTCCTCGGTCTCGGTAAAGGTTTGTTTGTTCAGTGTCTCGAAGAACCGCATCCGGGGGTTTGCTGCGAGGTGTAGCCCCGAGGTTGCAGCGGTTGGATTCTGGAAGGACGGGACCCTGCGGGGCCACGCCCGGGGCTCTGCGCCCCCTCCTCCTGGGCCACGTGCGTGACCCCAGGCAGGTCCCTCTCCTCCTCGCCGAGAAAGGGGATGGTGCCACCGCTCGGTTTGTCATGAAAAGACTCGCGCATCCAGAGCTGTCCACGCTCTCCTGAGGTTTAACAAGCAGCACAGCGCTTCTCCGACCCAGCGTGGACCCAGCGTGGACCCAGCGTGGCGGGTCTGTGGGTCGGGGCACAGGGCAGGCGGGACTGGGAGGGGCTGTGGGCGCCTCCTTGTCGCTGAGGGACAGGGCCGGGGACGGCCTCCCGGTCACGTGAGCGGCACCAGCCTGCTCCTGGGCAAACAGAGAACTGGAGGACCCGCAGTGCGGGCAGGGAATCCAGGCGCACTGGCCCCCAGGACAGCCCACATAACCTACCGACGGGCTGTGGGAACTCACAGGCTCGCAGGCTCCTGAACACTGGGCCGGTTGTTCCGGAACCCATCGTTGTGAGCCGAGTCTGAAAGTCTAATTTTCACAACACGGTGGTGAACGTAAAACACCCGGAAACAGCAAAAAACAACAGAAAGGCAGGAGAGGCCTCGTGAGGAAGCTGCCAGCCTCCCCAGCAGGCGGCATGGGCCCGCGTAGGGGGAGGAATGCTCCATGTTCATGGAGAGAAAAACGTAGCTGTAAGGGGTCCGTTCCCCTCAAGTTGATCTCTGGATTCAGGGCTATTCCAGCCGCATCTACGTGTGTGTGCCTGTGCGCGCACGTGCGTGTGTAAAACTCAACAAGCTGATTCTCAATATTTCTGAAAAGCGAGCAGCCAGAAGCCAGGACACTCATAAGCAGCGCCACAGAGAGCTCCCCCTCCCAGACCCGACAATGAGATGGTTGCGGGACGCCGACCTGCTCCCGGCAATGCCCCCTCGGCCAGAGAGGAGGGGCTCGGACACGTGCTGCCCCTGGGTGAGCCTCGAGGACACGGTGCCACGTGAGAGAAGCCAGGCACAGGCCACCGATCCCGTGGCTCCGTTTCTGTGGCGCGACCAGGACAGGCAAGTCCACCGAGACAGTGTAGAGTGGGCCAGCGGGCTGAGAGGAGGGAGGGAGGGCGGGACGCTGATGCGGGTGGCGTTTCTGTCGGGCACAATAAAGGCCGTGAAATGGATTGTGGAGATGGCTGGGTTACTGTTAATAAGCTAACAGCCATTGGCTCGCACACTTTAAACGGGTGAATTTTAACCCGGCCGGCGTGGCTCAATGGTTGAGCATTGACCTATGAACCAGGAGGTCACAGTTCGATTCCTGGTCAGGGCACATGCCCGGGTTGTGGGCTCGATCCCCAGTGTGGGGCATACAGGAGGCAGCCGATCCATGATTCTCTCTCATCATTGATGTTTCTCTCTCTTGCTCCCTTCCTCTCTGAAATCAATAAAAAAATATTTAAAAGATTGTAATTAAAAAATAAACGGGTGGATTGTATGGTATATGAGCGCTATCTGGCGGCAGGCTCCCTCCCCGGGGGCCTCGGGCCCCCTCTCCTGTC